CGATACAAGTCCGCCTTGTTGGACCCTCTCTAGACGTCTTGAACTACAGCTCCGCTCGTCAAGGGGCTGATGGGAGTTGTAGTCCAGCCCACCACCTGAACTCTGGAGTCAGGCTGATTCTCATCCTTTCTAAGCTTTTGCTGTCTGGCACAGGTGCAGGAAAAAAAAGTGGGGGGAATTCTCCTTGCCATGCTTCCCAGATGCCTCTCGGAAGCCCTAAATATGGGGTTCCTCTTTAAACTGTAACAATATTTTGCCCTCCCTTTCCTTCTTCCCCTTTTGCCAATCAGCTGAAAATAGACAAGGAGATGATTTGTTTGGAAATAGCATCATCATAATCATCCACTTCATGATGATGGACTGATTATTATTATTATTATTATTATTATTATTATTATTATTATTATTATTATTATTATTATTATTATTATTATTATTATTATTATTATTATTATTATTATTATTATTATTATTATTATTATTATTATTATTATTATTATTATTATTATTATTATTATTATTATTATTATTATTATTATTATTATTATTATTATTATTATTATTATTATTATTATTATTATTATTATTATTATTATTATTATTATTATTATTATTATTATTATTATTATTAGTAGTAGTAGTAGTAGTAGTAGTAGTAGTAGTAGTAGTAGTATTGTTGTTGCTGTTGCTGTTGCTGTTGCTGTTATTATTATTGCTATTATTATTATTGCTATTGCTACTGCCATAGTTTATTTATTTTAAAAAAATTGTCCCACCTTTCTCCTTACGAAAGACCCAAGGCCGTTTTAAAAGACCATATTTAAAGCTAAAAACAATATGGATACATATATTAAAAGGGAATAAACAAGCTTGTATTCCTGGGGAACCAGTTCTTGTTACGCCAACAAACCAAAACTCCTGCAGTGCTTCCTCCTGAGGAAAGACTGCTTTTATCTCCCCATAACTTCCTCTAAATTGGAAAAGTTACTTTTTTGGGGGACCATGCCCAGACTCTTCCAGGCAGGACAGCCAGAGCCATAATATCCTTAGTTTTTGTTATCCTTTCCAAGCACCTCGCCAGAGGAATTTTTCTTCTTTTCATTCCTAGGTGGGGATGATGGGTTTTTTAGTCCAAAACAGTAAATTTTCCAAGCTACTGTTTTCCTACAGAGACGATCCATGCTTAGGTTGCACGGCTTGCCTTTGGGCACGCTGGGGTAAGAGGCAGGCTACAGCGCCATTCACCCCTTCCAAGTCCTGCCTGCTTCCCCCTTATCACGAATCTCGGGATTCACACGTTTCCAACTCTGGGGCGAAATGGGGCGCGGCCCCTTTAAGGGCGCCTCCGCCGCCGCTTCCACGCGCCGACCCGGCCATGACTAGACAGATTGTCCCAGATAATTGGCTCCGCCCCTGCCCAACCCCGAGGTTCGGGTGAAGCTCCGCCCCCGCCCCATCAGGCTGGTGGGCGGAAACCTGGGCACGCCCCGCCTCTCCAGACCACGCGCGCCTGAGGCTTGCATTGTGCAAGAATGCAGAGGGAGGGAGGGGGGCGGGCGCTTCGAGTTAACCTTAGAAGCGCCGGGCAGCAGTGAGAAGGGGAGGTTGAATGCCTGCCTGCCTGCCAAAGGAGCAAAACATTCTCAGTGGCCGCTTGCTCGCGAGTAAGCCACGCTGGGAAGTGCGTCTCCTCAGAGCCCGTCCCATGGGCTTCCTTGAGGGCTCCCTCCCAGCTTGGACTACAACTCCCATCGTCGCCGCCGATTGGCTGGGGCTGATGGAGTTTAGAGTCTACACAACCTTAACTCCCTGAGAGGATGACTGTGTGCAGATTTTCCCATGAGTAAACCTTATTGGACGTGGAGGGCCACGCAGGAAGGAAGAAGGGCTAGAAACCCTTGTGCCTCCCTATCGTCGTCATCATCATTGTCATCATGAGGTGGCCTCGATCCAGTTTCTTGTTTTCGCTGTGGGGAACCCACGGATGGCTCAAGGGTTTACCTACAACAGGGCTGCCCTATTGTAGGTAAACCCTATTTACGCAATGCGTCTACTCACCACCCATTTACTAATCATCAATTGCTGGAGGCCGTAATTTTATTTTATTTTTTGGCAGCCTGAGAATTCTGGGCTTTGTAGTCCCCACACACCTTCCCAAACCTGCCCTCCCCCTCAGACACTCATTGAGGGGAGCGAAGGAGGCCTCCAGCGAGCCACCGGCGTGGCTCTGGATCCAGATCCTTCGTGGAAAGAATGCATAATAGTCTCAATCGCATGCACGGTAGTATTAATAATAAAATCATACTTTTCAAAATCGTAGCAAAGGAAAAGCCCGCTTCCTTGCACGGAATATTGACAGCGTGTTGCATTGCAAGTCGTGAGGGTTGCTTTTACAAAGAGAAATCGGTGGATGATGATGATGATTATTAGATTATTATTATAGCGCGGGGTTTCTCTCCTGATCCTCATCATCAGCCGCCGCCTCCGCCTTTGGCAGGCAAACAGAAGGAGCCCCGTCCCGGGTTCACCAGGGGTAACCACGTGCCCCTCCCGTCCCCCCCCTCCCGCACAGCCCCGGGGCGGGGGCGAGACGGCGGGCTCGGGTGCCTGTCCCTTTAAAGGAGGCGCCGCCCGAGCCACCCGCCGCCGAGTGCCCATGTGGAGCTGCTCCATGCCTTGTTGTTTTGCGAGGCCATTGGCTGGGGCCCGGGTGACGTCATTGAGCAGCATGCGAACGCACTGCGGGGGGCGCGGTCGGCCGCAAAACCCGGCGCGCCGGAGCTCGCACGAAAGAGGCTGCCGCAGGAGCGAGTTACAGAACGGGAGGAAATTGGGAGCGTGCCTTTATTATTATTTTTTTCTCCGCTCCGTGACACGCGAGACTTTAGTTCTCCTTTAAACAGCACGAATCCCAAAACCAAGAGTCTTGTGATACCTGGAAGATGACCCCGTTTGCCTTGGTTTCCTAACCTGCAGTCTTCTTTAGCATCTGGCTCAGTAAAACTTCCAAACAAGTGAAGGCCTGAAGCGATGGGAGGCTTAACGGTCCTCCTTCCTTCGCAGCAAAACTACCCAGGAGCCCTGTGGCATCTGCAAGGGTGCCCCGTTTTATTCGGCTTTGGTTCTCAGCATTCAGATTAAGAAAGAGATTTTTTTTAAAAAAGTTGTCATCTTTCAGGTGACACAAATCTCTTCGTTTATGTTTCTTTTATTTTAAAGGAAAGTTGCAGCAACCCAGTCTTTTATGCAACAGAGGTATGTGGAGGATGATCGTTTTGCAAAACCATGGAAGGTCATAGCCGCCCCCCCCTTCCCCAAATTCTGCTAAAGTTAGGGCCGCCCGGCTGTCAAGACAGAGCTTAGGGTCAGACAAAAGAAAAAAGCCAACAAGACCGCCTTGACCCCCTTTGGAAGAGAACGGAATGGCAGATATATTAAACGCTGTATGGGGGACCCCCAGCCCCCCACCCTCAAGTCTATGAAGACTTAGAGGCCCCGCGAGTCTCTTTCTCTGTAATTAAATGCATTTGCCTGGCAGGGTAACCCCGGGCTCTTTGGGTTTTGCTGGCGAAGTCTAACAGGGCGTGTGGGTCACCCATAGGAGAGGCTGACCAACCTGGAAGAAGCGTTCTGTGACTCCCCCCAACCTTGCACCGCCAGATCCGAAGTCAGGGTTGGTCCTCCTCACCCAGGCACTGTGGTTTTGTCGTTCTGGCCCAGGAAAAAAAAGTCGTGTTGACAGATCTCTCTTTTTTTAGCAGTAGGTATTTAAATAAAAAAATAGTGACATGTTAAATTAGGGATGTAACCCCCACAAAGGGATTTGGGGAAGTTCTAAGCCAATAAAGTAACTTTTTTCCAGGTGCTGGGCATGACACGTTAAGAGCAAAGTGAAACGGATGCAATTAATTGGCTTGTTACTTTAGAAAGGTGTTTATAGGGTGACTTTCAGGGGCCAGATTTCCATTTTTATTTTATTTTATTTTTGGTATTTGTTTCTGCACAGTACATGAATAATGGAAGGGCACTAGCCGTGTGCTACCAACTCATACATAAAATAACATTAAAGAGTCCCTTCTTTAAAGGGAGCACGAGGATCAATGGGTTTATCGATTAGAAATCACTCCCCCTTCCGCTGGCAAAATATTCTCCATTTATGCCTTGATTCCTGATTCCGATGAGCCGGGTTTGACACTCAAGAGACAGGGTACAGTTTTGTGCCTCGCCGGAGTGAGACGGATGCGATCGGATGCCAATCATCCTGCCTCGTTCATTGATTGAGGGGGAGATATATAGCAAATCAGTGCATTGGTGGTCCCCGCCGGCCGCGCCTCCCTGGAAAGATCGTATTGCATTTTAGACGTTTTCTTCGACTGGATCTCGTGGGCGGTTAATTAAATCGCTCGTCGGTGCGGACGCAAGCGGTTCGGCTGTGCAATAAGAAATGAAGGGAGAGAAGGGGGGGGGAAAAGACAAGCCCGCAGGAGCACTCCCGTCCGGAGCGCACCAGGAATCCAGCGCCGGGTTTTGCCGCCCTCTCTCCCTGTAGTAGCCGAGGGCCGTGTCACTGCCTCTCTCTTTTTTTTTCTTGTTGTGTTTCTGTTACACTTCGCCATCTTGTTACAAAGCCTTTTTCTTGTCTGGAAGAAGCTGGCGGGTGATCGCTGGGGCTTTTTCCCTTTTCCTTTACGCCCCCGGGGAAGAGGAGAAAAAAAAGAGAGAGAAAGATCCTGCGCAGGGTGGGGGCCGCAGAGGGAGCACAAGCAGCCTGGAAAATATATATATAT